ATTATTATATTTTTTATTATATATTATATTATAAGATATAACAACTATATAATATATTGTAATTATATTATAATATTGAAGGATAATTATGAAAAAAATGAAGAAAATAGTTTGGAATTGTTATTCCTCCCATGTGATAAATGAATGATGATTCACTTGAAATGGGTGAATGGTCATTCTTTTTGAATGACCATTTTTTTCTTATAAATCTAACAAAACATCATACTTGGATTTCATTCCATTTTATTCATTTTCTTCTCACCCAACAAAACGCACCTCGAGAGTTATAGAACCAGCATCATGATTTTGGTTCAAACCTTTGTTTTTTTACAAAAAGTAAAACATGGTTATGGGTCAAGGTTTAAAAATCAGTATTTGGTTTGAATGGTTATGGTTCAAGATTTGAACTCTAATGCGATGTTTTAAACCAGCACCATGCGATATTTTAAACTAGAACCACCGTTGATTTTAAAACTACCTCCCCTTAGTTTTGGGTGGTTTTAAACCCCTGAATTCTGGTTCTGGTTCCATTATCATGATTGGATCAAAAACCATGAATCATGGTTCTGGTTCTAAAATTAGAATCAAAATCACTCTGGTTTGAACCCTCATACCAAACGGAGCCTAAATACCAAACTCCTAGTCTCGGATGTTTTATGTTTACAGTCTTTAATTAAATATTATAAAGTTATGGGGCAAAAAGAATTTTTGATACTTTTATGGGAGTTTCTGTGACTGAAAAAAATAAATTGTTGATAGTTTTTTTTAGCTGTTATCAAGAACTGTCTGTTTTACATTTTTTTTAATTTGATGTGATTTAATCAGATTTAACGGTCATAAACTGGTACTACTAATAAATTAGTCTATTGAAAAAACTCCTAATTTTAAAAGATAAAAGAGTTATTATGATAGTAGTCCTTTTTGGAAATGGTCTTGAGAATACTCTGTTTGGTATTCCTTTGAGAAAAATATTCAGTTTTCCATACACGATCTATAGAGTATTTTAAAGTTTTATGAAAATTTTTGTTATACACGATCTATAGTTACACGCTTCTGCATCCGAAATCGTTTCGGAAACCAACACATTGTTCCTAAATTAGGATAAAAAATTCAAGGGCAAAAAAGTTACGATACAAAATTGTTAGAGTTTCACTTTTTATGTGTACCTATATATTAATTTAAGGAGAAAATTATTGAACTTACTTACATAGTTCTAGATTTTTATCCCTTATTCTTTATTAATACTCTTTTGACTAATAAAGTTATTGAAATAGTCTTAATCAAGATTAAACGGTAAAAATTTGTATCCAATGTATGAGATATTTGTCTCGTAATTCATAATTTAAAAGGTGTTGTAATGATAGAAGTTAGAGTTACAATTTGACCAGGTAAAATATGCACAAGAACCATATCCAACCTGTTAGGTTTTTTTATTTATTTTTTTAGGAGAAAATTATTGAAGTTACCCTTAAAAGTGCATATGTCTAGAATTTTACCTCATACTCTTGATTCATACTCTTTTGAGTAATATAGTTTTGATTAAAAAGGTATTAGACAATAATAAATGATAAAAATTAAGACTCATGCAATCTAAAAAAATATTTGTCTCCTTTTTCTTTTTTTTTTTTCAAATACTTTCTTATATAAAAAAAGTAATAATTACACTACATGGCAAAATTCCATGAGTTGAAATTTAGCAAAATTATGAAAATATTATAAATAAAGCAAAATTGACATAGTCATTATAATGATGTCACATTTTGTACTATGTAGTGACATAGTCATTAGTTTAATGATATCAAAATTTAGTTATTTTTGTAATATTTTAAAAATGTTGCTATATTTAAACTCTACTATTGAAATTTTACTGTATAGGCCTAGAGCCGAGTCAAGATGGACGAGATATTTAGGCAATATGTCATAATTTTTAAGGTTGGATTGAATTTTATCATAGGTACTAAAACTATTATAAAATATATTACAGTAACATCATTTAAGTTTGTGTACTGAACAAAGTTATACTTGTATTTTTGTGTATTTTATTCAGCATCTTTAGATTTTGTAAGAGTTTATAAGTTTTTATTTATATATTTGTAGCTTTTATGAATTTTACGATTCTTAAATATCCTAAGCTGTGGTATTGTCTACAATCATTTATATATGTCAGTATATTTTAATTCAAATTTAAAACTCGTAATGTTCTTATAAAGTGCTCAAGATGGACCTTCCCTTACCTTCTTCGGCCCTATCTGACCGGACATGGCCCATTTTTCCTTTTGACCCGAATGGCAGCTATAGCCCGAGTCGGGTGGACTAGATTGACAGCTTTGATAGAAGTTAATACATTTAGAAAAAATTCAGTTATTTTAACAGAACTCACAAAGGTAACTAAGGTGAAATTTAGTTGCATATATATATTGATTAAGCAGTTTATGCTTTTCATAGTTTTGATAAGAAAGACAAATCTGAAAAAAAACAAACAAACAAACCAATTTCATATGCTCACAAGGACAAGACATGGCCGCACAATGACCTAAAGTGAAGTATATGTTCTCCTAATATGTAACATATGCTGGAGCTTATTCACAAGTGATTTGGTAAATAGGAAGATCTTAATTTTAAGGGTCCGTTTAGTTTATTGATTCGAGTTGAGATGTGATTTTATGTGAGAGTTTTTTACTGTAGTAAAAAAATTATATGTAACTGTTTCTGAGAGTTTTTACTGTAGTAAAACTCGAATTCTAAACTCAAATCGGTAAAATAAAAATTTCATGGGAAACGCGCTTGAGACTACCGGTTCAATTTTCCTTAGCTAATAGTGGAGCTATTAATTAAGGTAACGCGCTGTCTTTGAACATGAGCCTATAATTTAATGCGAATATTTCTTAACTTTGGAGGTCTTTGTGTCTTAAGAGGATAGTTACAGATGGTTGTTCCTCTTCACACTTTATTCTACTACAACATATGCGAGAATGAAAAAAATTAGAAGTTTTAATGACGATGTTACATATCCTTTGCATCGCACACGTTACACATTAGTTTCTACCGTAAACTAGCCATTGCAGGACGTCTAAACGGCAGGGATCACTACTAGTCTTGGAGGAAACTCACTGCGTGACTCGTGCAAACAGTTTCAAAGAAATGATTTTGTTGGTATCGTATTAGCATGAGAATATATGCAAGCATTTAGACTTGTCCCATTTCTTTCTTTTTTTTCTTAATCCTTTTGCCTTGGACTAAAAGAAAAGCTTGTTTGTGCATTCTCACTTCCAATCCAGCGAGGGATACAAGTAACATAAGTTCAACAAGCCAACCCAAGTTCACACTTCATACTTTCTTACCGGTCACTGTAATCAGTCTCCTTCATCAATGCCAAGACAGAAGTTTCATAAATGTCAAAGGGCCTAAGTTCGACGGTTTACCAACGGAGATCAACAACAACGACACTCGTGGGACACAGCAAGCAAGCATAACGACAATAATGTTGTTCAGCGCCAAACACGACGAAGAAACGCGTAGCAATCAGTCATCAGTCATAATATAGTTGGACTCAACATAACTGATAAAGACTTGGTTCATTTTATTAATTTTGTTACTATAAAAAAATTAATTATAATCTTTTGTAAAAAATTAAAATTAAAAACTTAAATGAGTAAGATAACGGCCAAAATTACGCCAAAATTACGGCTGCAAAAAGGATTTTCATAAGCGTTGAAAAATGGTGTCTCTGATGTTCCCTGATACACTGCAAAAAGGATTTTCATAAGCGTTGAAAAATGGTGTCTCTGATGTTCCCTGATACACTGCAAAAAGGATTTTCATAAGCGTTGAAAAATGGTGTCTCTGATGTTCCCTGCGACACTACACACGCTTGTCAAATGCAAATTGGGGCCTTTTAGATTCTTCAACCCCATCATGGCAATAAACTAAACAAAATTAGAGTTTATTTTCTATATTCCTTATTAATTTTGAATTATGATTAATAATTTTTTATAGTATTTTTTTTATAAAAAATATACATAAAATAAAAATAATTTTAAATACATAAATTAAACTTCTTCTAACTAAACCCAACAACAACAATAATCAACCGTAACGCAAAAAATCATAAACAAGACAGATCATTCATACAAGTGTAAAAAAGTATACATTTCATTCTTACAATTGCTAATTGCTAGAATCAAATACAATCTTGTACAGAAGAAACTCAAACCAACCTACAAAAAAATTGAATCTTACTCTTATTCTGTATCTATAACCCAAAAGAATTATAGCTAAAAGGGAAAAAAAAAACTTTCCTTTAACTAACAAGTAATAAGCAATCATCAAGATAGAAAAGAAGTGCCAGCAAGGCCATGGTGCAACAAGTTATGCGCAATCTGATCTCTCTTCTGCACAGAGGTGGCAGACCTTAAGCTATTCTCAGCCACCATCTCATCATCAAAAAGCTCAAACTTGGCCGTCGGATCAATCTCCTCATTCCTCATCTCACAAATGTTGTGCAAAACACAGCAAGCCCCAAGAACCACAGGCAAGTCCTGAAGCTTAACCTCAGTCCTCTTCTGCAAACACGACCACCTTCCTTTAAGCTTAGCGAAAGCCTCCTTAGCCACGTTTTGGACCTCCCCAACCTTCTCATTGAAAGCGTGTTGCGCCCAAGTCAGATTCTGCCTTGTGTACGGGACCAAAACCCAGTCGAGAAGCGGAAATCCAGAGTTTCCCACGATCCAAACATCCCTCAGAAGCCCGCGACTCGCCCGCTGGAAAAGCGCCGACTTTTCGAGCACTTGATCATCCGGCATTGAGCCGGGCCACCCGATACAGACGTCGGTGAAAACTCCTTTGGGATCGACGACGCCTTGGACCGTGATCGAGTACGAGGTTTTCTGGTTCCTCTCGGTGTGTCTCTTGTTGAAATACGCCGCCACGCTTATCTTCGGCGCGATGATCGGGACGTGGGTGGTGTACATTGCCCCGGCGACGTTCTTGATCCCGGAGATTGATTCGAACTCCTCCTTGATCGTCTTCATCCTCTGCTCGTCGGGCCATTGGAGGAATTTCGGCATCAGAACTGTTCTGATCGCCGAGCAGACCTCCAAGACGAGCTTGTGGCAGGTCGAAATCCCAAGCCCGAAACGCTTCGAGACGAGGCGGAGAGGCTCGCCGGTGGCCAACCTCCAAATGCAGACCGCGACTCTCTGGCGAACCGGAATCGCCTCCCGAAGCATCGTGTTCTTCTTCATTACAGATGAGTCGAGCTCATTGCAGATCATCTCGAAGGTCGCTTTGCTCATCCTGAACTCCCTCTTGAACTCCTCCTCGGGAAAGTCCGGGTGGTTGTGCTGGTCCCACCAGTCCTTCGACCGGTCCTTCACCCACAGCCGTCGCTGGTGCCCGACCGGTGCCCCATTCCCCGAGCTCGACGGCACCGTATTACTCTCCGCCGTTGCCGCGGCGAGGACCACGGCGGTAGAGGTCGATCGGCGAGCTCGTTTGGTTAGGGACTGATCCAAATCGTTCAATTGGGAGTAATGTTGGTCGAGATTCTTGTTAATCTCGTATTCTTGCTCTTCGTCCTTTCTTCGCCGCTTTCTTGAGTCGTTTCCGTCGTTCAAATTCACATCAAAAGAGTCGTCGTCCATATCTGGGAACGAGCTGAAGAAGTGAGAAAAGTCTTCCTGGTTAAGAAACGATAGGACGGGGCTAATTTCCATGAAAATGATCCAACAGAAGTGTGAACGAACTGGGTTTTTTCCTTTTATTCTCTTTTTTTCTCTTTGATTTTGTTTTTGTGTTTCTTGGTATGGAAGTGAATCGAAGAAATTGAGATGGAGGAGAAAAGAGTTGGCGTTGGGAGATATATATGGCATGGCGAGCGAGAGAAGCGTGTGCGCAAATGTGAACGCGGCGTATTTGGGGTTTTTGACGGTGACTTGACTTTTCTTTGATTTTATTTTATTATTTTTTTAAAAAAAATAACAATAAAATAAATAAAAGATACTGTTTGATCTCTTTCTCTGTGGGATCTCGTACGCGGTTGGGTGGACTTCAAGAATTCGATTGTTTTGATGATGAGATGATGGTATTATTTTTTTTTTCCTTATTTTTAATGAAAATGAAAACGTTGGTGAAATGGAGGGTTGTGGAGAAGCTTCGGTTTTGTTGAGGAGGATTGAGAGAGGAAAGAGGACAAATAGATAGGAGAGAGAGAAAAAAAAAAAAAAAGAGGATAATTATCTGGAATGCCCTCCGAGAGTGTATGATTTGCTATCTGCTGGCGACTTTTCTACTGTTTTTGATTTGTTGGCGAAATATCCAGGATAGCGCTCCCCCTTAAGTTTTTGCTATTTGTGATTTACGCGCCTAAGTTTTTGTTTTTCTTGTTTTTTGTTGTGTTATACGTAACCACTTTTTTGTGGATACTTTTATGTGACAAATAAAAATTCTGTTTATTTTATCAATTTAATTTTAGTTAGAATAGTGAGTACAAATTAAATAAGCGTTCGGTCATAATTTAAATTATTATTCGTAATTTGTTATAATATTTTTTTTCACAAAAAATATACATAAATTAAAAATAATTTTAAATTTGTGAACCAAACATCCAGTAATTAAAATTGTTTGAATGCTTTATGATTCATAAATTTAAATAAAAATTTTTAAAAACAAATTTAAATTTTATAAGAATAAATGTTGTAGTAAAAATGCTTGAATAATAGTTATTCAATAGTTAAATCTATGAAACAAACGAATAAAAAATTACTTCATTTTTTTTTTAAAAAAGTTTATTTTCTTCTTTATCAAGTATTTTCTCTCTTTAAATAAGTGTAATTGCCATCATGCCATGTTTCATTAGCGTGAGAGTGACAAGTACTCGAGGAAAGTCTTTTGTTTCTACTTTACTAAGTAATTTTCTTAATGTTATTTGATTATAATTAAAGATGTAGATTAATTATATCTTAATATGACTTAGAATATATAGGGGGAGCAATAACCCTTCACTACGTAGCAAAGTTATTGAGAGCAGCTGTCCATACGCTAAGTAAAGTTCACTAGATGAGGATATACATTTGACTATTTGACCTGAAGGAATGACTGAGTATGACATTATTCGTTCGTTGATTTGAGTTTTTAATTTAAATTAAGATGTGATTTTATGTAATAATTTTTAACTGTAAAATAAAAAAGTTATATGTGACTTTTTGTGAGAGCTTTTAACTGTAACAAAATTAAAATTAGAAACTCGAATCGATGAAATGAACAAAACTAAACCTTCAAATAAAATTAGGGATTAATTACAAAAGTTCTTTCTCAACTATAACCTTTCTAACTGTGCCTCACGATATTCAACATTTGCCAACCGATATGTGAAATAGTAGCCAAAAAAAAAATCTTTGCATTATGATTTGGACAAATATTAGACCTGTTTTGGAAGGGTATTTGAATCATAATTTGAGTTTTGATTCAAATTTTTTGAGAAAAAACTATTGACGGGTATTTGTGAGAGAAAATATTGTAATAGAATCATGATTTAAATTTTAAGTATGTATACAACAACCTCATCATGTTTCTCCTTAGACTATAAATCGTATTATAAAATACCCTTAGAACTTCAATTTGTAACATTCGTTTTCCTTGAACTTAAAAACTCTTGTAAATTTCCTTTTTTATTAACATAATAACATGTATTACACAAAGAATGAAGATCGTTGAACAATTTAATGAACAAGTATTCTCTTAGCTACTTATCTGATAATCACATGAGAATGAGATGAGAGATTATTATTTTGTTAACTTTAATTTATTTTCATTAACAACTAAAATTTTTAAATCATATCAACTTTAAAGGTAAAACTAGCTTTAAACATAATAAAGTTACTAAAATACTCATGTATTATATATCATTTGACAATTACGTGTTACTTTTCACATTCTTCTAAGAACATTTTGTTTAAAAAAGAAAAAAGGGTTGATCTTGGTTCCTGTGATTTTCTTCAATCACATTTTGGTTCTTAATTTTTAAAAGTCTTATAATTAGTTCATGAGGTTTTACTCTATTTCAATTTCGGTCATTTTGTTAGTCAGGTATTAAATATTTGACTAAATCTATAGAAATTATGGACCAAAATTGTGAAACTATATAAAATATAGACACCAAAACAATACAAAAAAAACAAAAAACAAAAGTTAATTTCCATAAATAGTCCAAAAATTAATAGTTTCTAATTTTGGGATATAATTTACACAGATACTATCAAATTTTAACGCATAATTAACAGAATAACAGAGCTGAAATAAAATAAAAACTTCATAAACTAATTATATGACGCCTCAAAATTAAAGACTAAAGTGAAATTAAATGTAAACCTTAAGGACCTTCTGTGAAATTAATTAACCAAAAAAACACATTAAAAGTATATTGCATACATTCTTGCTATCATTTTTCTTCCTCTAAATGTTTAAAAGAGATAAAAAGCATAATCTGCTGTAAAAGGAAATAAAGCTGGAAGCATTTTTACCCGTCTTCCCCCGTCACGGTGGTCACGGTTCACGAACGGTTTTTTTTCTTAATTTTACTTTCTTTCTTTTAAGGATTTTTTTCCTTATAAATAATTTTAATTAAAAATTAGAGCTCCCCTGACACGCATGCCCTTTTTTCATTTAAAATTTAAAGAAGCATAATCTGCTGTAAAAGGAAATAAAGACCCCCCCCCCCCCCCCCCCCCCTCTCTCTCTCTCTCTCTCTCTCTCTCTATCTCTCTCGGAGTCACGGTGGTCACGATTCACAAATGGTTTTTTTCTTAATTTTACTTTCTTTCTTTTAAGGATTTTTTTTCCTTATAAATAATTTTAATTAAAAATTAGAACTCCCCTGACACGCATGCTCTTTTTTCATTTAAAATTTAAAGAACGTTTAGTTTATAAATTTAAAATTATAATTCAGAATTATTTTTAATTTACGTGTGTTTTATGAGAAAAAATATTATAACAAGTCACGAATCATAATCCAAACCACGACACGAATCCTTACTCTAAACACACCCCTTTAGTATTCATTTTCATTTGAGTTGGATTTTTCACTAAATAAGAATTTGAAGAGGAAGTTGTTACAATAAAAGATAATTTGAATTGACTAATTTGTCGCTTACTCGCTTATGGGCATATTATAGATTTTAGATTATAGATAATTATCAAAGGCATTAATGTGTTTGAGCAAATTACTTAATAGATCATTTTCTCCCTATACCTTGGATACGTAATAACTTGACATTGTCTTATTGTATTTAATAAGAGCTACCAAATTTAACTTTTGTTGGCAAAACATGTAAGAACTCCCCTCATGCATTTACTATTGATTATATACGCGCATAAGTTCTTCATTTCTTGATTCCACGCAAACAATAATTTTTTTGCTTCGATTCACATTTATCCGTCCTACTCTATTGTCAATTCTCACATGAAACACATACATTTATTGGATTCATTGCTAAGTTTTAGTATTGTGTAAATTGATAAGATAAGGTCCTCCAAAAAAAAATGATAAGTTAAGGTATTTAAAAAAAATGAGTTTTTTTAGTAGGATCAGAAAAAATGAACTACTGGGTATCTTTTATTTTTCAATCGGCATATCTGTATCAGAAATTGTCTATTCTACATATTTTTTTAATTTGATGTGATTTTTATCAGATCTAACAGTTAAAAGTTGACATTGCCGGTTGAAAAGCCTACCAGAAAAAGTTCCAAAAAGAGAATTAGGAGCAATGTTAAATAAAAGAAAATAAATCATAAGAGTTGTATTTTCTTTTCAAAATATAAGTTCATCAATTAGTATTTTATTATTGGTTTATTTATAAGCTAGAAATGCTAAAATTTGTTAATGAAGATATCAAAACCAGTTGTTTACTTGGAGAAAGATGCAAGATTACAAGTTAACATTTGATATAATTTCCAGAATATCCAAAATATAAGGTTACCTTTTAACTAAACTCAAAACGCAGCGTTAAAATGTTAAATGTCCCTCTTGCAAATCAATCTTATTTATGTCTAAATTGCCTTTTTTGCTGAATACATGCACCTGTCTTTATTTCCTCACTTCCTACCTTTTCTTTTAAGGAATTTCTCTAGTATTTTTTTTTAAACACTAACGTTCATTATTTATCGGTCGTCAAATCTGTATTATTTTTTTCAATATACATTAAAAAAAAAGTCCTTTTATGAGTAAATCTATAATCACTTTTGAGCAGACAATAAAATTGACACGATTCTCTCGCCTACATAAACAACCAATGTAATAGTTTATAAGATCAAATATACTATTCTTTCCTTTAGATTGAAACTTGAAAGTACTGGTTGACATTGCTCTCTCTAATTTTTTTTTTTTTTTTTTCTCGTATGGATAATTAATCGGGTATTAAATGAGTTCAAACATGAGGGTGACTTGGGGTATTTACCTTAAAGCCGTGTATCACAACTCTGAAAGCGACTTCTTGACATTTTTGGTGTAAATGCAACACAGCCTACAATATTAGGGAGAAGAATTGTTGATCATCTCCTGACCATACGGATAATGATAGTTTTGTACATTAAAGTAGTTTACCCCAGAAAAAAAAGTCATCATAAATCAAAATCACTAGTCAATACTAATAGTATAGTATAAGCCTTGTTCTTCTGTAGACAGTCCACCACCAAAAAATAAAAAATTGTCGTCACATACACATAGTAAGTGTCCCATTGTCAACAGATGTTCACATGGTCTTTTTTTTTTTTTGTTCATATCAAATATCTCTCTCTTTCTCTCTCACACATACGCTTAGACATTAGGTGGTTGTTCTTCTTTAACGAAATTTAAAAAAAGTTTGAACTCGAGTTACAACTTTATTTAAGTTCGTGTTCTTTTGTAAAATTTGAGTTTAAACTCGAGTTTGGGATTAAATTCGAGTTCAAGTTTCCCCTTCAACTCAAACAATATTTTTTCTATTCTTAAAAATGTCATAACTTTTTCGTTTTATTTTTGATTGAGATGTTTTTTTTATGCATTCACAACGAAAAGACGAATAAAACCCCACACATATACCCATCTAAAATTTTCATCACCATTGAGTTTTTATTAAAATACTATCTAAATGTAAATTTAAGTTTTGACCCACCCAAATACAAACTAAAAAAGATTCTAAATTCAAATCATAGCTCAAATGTGCACATCCAAACGCAAACTCAAGTTACAACTTCAATTCAAGTTATAACTCAAACTCACTCAAGATCATCAATCAAGTCACCCTAACTCAAAAATGTAAAAGAACAACCCTAGGATTTTTGCTGTAATGTATGCAGCACATTGCCTTAGGGTTTGTCGGCGTGCCCTAATTTGAGCGAGGAGTGCAACAGATGGGACTTTATTGCTCGTGGAGGTGATACTAAATATGAGGCCAGATGCTTGGGTAAGGGGCGTTGAGGTCCGCATATTGGCGCAAAATTGATCGCCGATGGAAGATGGCTCGATGGTGACGGTAGCGGATGTCCTCGTTTCATCATGGTGTTATCTTCATTCTTTTTTCTTATATTTTTTTATTTATTTGCAATAAACATGATGTTGTTTTTGTCATGATTATGTGTTCTAATAACAAAGGTGGTTTTCCATCTTTTGATTTTATTTGTGTGTCCAACTCGTTTGAATTCGTTTTCAACAATGTATGTGGGTTGGTATATGCTAGATTTATTTTTAGACAGTATCACTCGTGCCCCAAGTATTCGAGGTTTAGATTTGGTCGACTGGATTTATTCATTGATTTAAGTGATTTTTTTAATGAGCTTTGATCGCATTTGATTTTGTATATGCTGAGTGAGTCTTTTCCCTTAAGGTCTCAACACTTATGTTCGTCTACATACTTCATTCATCTTCACTAGAGGTTTCGGTCAATGTTCGGAATTGAATTTTCTTATAGTTAGTCGTCATTTGCGATTATTTTTTGAGTACGTAATTTGTTAAATTTGAAATGAAACTTTTCCTTAATTTTTTGAAGGCTTGAAATCTACATTTTTTCAAAGGGACCCTGAACTTATCTTTATTTGCATATAAATCTCGAGTTTTTTAATATTTTGCACAAACACCCCGACTTGGAAATAGTGGTTCCGAGCCAGAAAGGCAATGAGTGGCTTTTAAACTGACTGAGATCTCAGTCACATATTCCAAGTCCAACAAAAACAGCACCAAAATGTACAGTTGCTCTACAATGGCGTCTCTTCTCAGTCAACCTCCCACTTTTCCTCTGCAACACAAGGTAATTCCGAAATTTCCATAAGAAACCCATTTCTCTTTTCTGGGTATTTGGTCGTTTAAAGTTCCGAACTTTTGGAATCAATTTTCGGTTCTTATTATTCGGATTCCTTTTCTTTTGTTCTTCTGGGTTCAGGCAAATCGATCTAGTCTTAGCAGAATATGTACGAATCCACTGTCCGAACAACTTTACAAGACAAGTTCTAGAATCGGCAAACGTCATGGGAATTGTTCGGTGACGAAAGCCAAGATGGCCATTGAAGGAGATGTGATCGAGAAACAACAATCTGTTACTCTCAACGACAAGCATGGTGACACCTTGAATTTTTGACCATTTTTATTTTGATCGAATATTGTTTTCAAACTTGGGTTTTTGAAACTTTTATTTTAGTCATGGTTCAATTGGTAAGGGTTAAGTGTATGAGAATCACGTGCCAAATAAAGTAATTAAAGAACATTATTTGTTTTGAAAATTCTGTGATACTTCTTAAAGTATTAGATTATATTAGAATTGAAAAGTAATCGATAGAATATCTTTTTCCTGTGTAAAATTCTTCAAACGGTTTGGGGTAGTACTTTGGTAAGCTGAGTTTAATGTTATCCTTTTATTGTTTTTTGAATTTGGGTTTGAGGATTTGAACTCTGAAAGTAATATAGGGAAGTGTGCAGAATCTTGTGTTGGAAGAATAGATTGTTAACTGTTTGTTAATTTGTCTGACAGAGAGAGGGAGAGAAAGAGAGAGAGAGAGAGACAAATGTGGATATAAAAAGTGAAAAGTGCTTAAAGAATAAAAGGGTTTAGGGGCGGTTGCTTGTTGGTCATGTGAAAGATTATCCCCCTTTAAATTATGATCGTAAACAATATATTTTTTCATACATGCTTTTATTCTTTGTGCTTATCTAATTGTTTGCTAGTACTATGCTGTTGCAGATTATGGGGTTGTTAGTGTCCACCACGTTGGGCTCTTGTGCGAGAACCTGGAAAGGTCTCTCCACTTTTACCAGAATATTCTTGGTAATGTTGAAAATTTTCCTATTTTCCATGCATACTTTTCTTTTTTCCTTTGGTACATAAATGTTGGTAGAAACTGTTATTTTAATTATTAAATTAATTTTTTTATCAGCATGATTTATGAGCGTTCATGTTAAAAATATACAGCGCGTGACCTTCCATTCATAGATTAGACCAATAAAAAATAATCTAACAACTAACACGACAGTATATGCCGATAGTGATTCTTTACCATAAAAATTCCCAATGTTAGGAAATTGTAAGAACTTCTGAGTTTCTGATATAATATTAACTTTTGTGTTTTGTAAAAATTAGGCCTTGAAATCAATGAAGCAAGGCCACATGACAAGCTTCCCTACAGGGGTGCTTGGTTATGGGTTGGTTCTGAGATGATTCATCTGATGGAGCTTCCAAATCCTGATCCTTTGACCGGAAGACCTCAGCATGGAGGCCGTGACCGTCATACGTGCATTGCCATTCGTGATGTTTCTAAGCTCAAAGCAATCTTTGATGAAAACGGTAAACTTGAATGTTCTCATCACTTATTAATCCTTTATTTGCATGTTATGTTCATAACATGAAGATGAAAAGGGAGAATCTGTTGTAGGTATCGATAAGACGTATACTTTTGAAAAGCTAGATCTTTCATTAGATTTTGTCAAATAATCGTATTTTACTTAACCTAATACGATTTTGATGTGATTTGCCGTTAAAAACTGTATCTTAACAATAAGGTCACAAAATTCTCTGAAAAAACAGACAAGAAAAATTTACAATTAGTGTTAGTTTCTTGACCGTCAAATTTTCTTAAATATTCCAAATGTCCGTTGACATAACATAGAAGAAGCTCTTGTGTAAAGGCTGATATATTTGATGTGGGTGATGATTTATACAGGGAATATTGTGGACATCTTATTGTGTAATCTCTTGCATTGCAGGTATTCCTTACACTCTTAGTAAATCAGGGAGGCCTGCAATTTTCGCTCGAGATCCAGATGCAAACGCTCTGGAGTTTACACAAGTGGACAATTGAACTCAATTTCGAGCCACCAACTTTGCAATGTTGATGATGACTCTGGAGTTCCATTGTCCTAATAGGAAGAAAAAGAGTTTGTACAGATTATATTATATACAAATAAAGTAGGCCACTGTTGTAGTAAAGTAACTTCTCCTGCAGAAACTAGAAATGAATGAATTTTCCATTGGACAAATATGAGGATGATAGTTAACATTTATAGGGATGCAATTTTTGACATGTTTCTTTTACGATTTTTTGTCGGTCGAACTTTGACAGAATTAGCAAGTTGCTCAGAGAAAGAAAATAACATTCTTAAATTGATAGACATGTTAAAATTTTGAAGAAAACACACCTCATGCCATATGACACGACATGTTTCAATTGTCATTCGAAATTTCAATCTCTTTCTTTAAATGAGCTTACTCATGTAAATGAGGACTTTTTTTATCCAAATTTTAACAGCCAGTCGATTAGAGAATACGCTACAACACTTTGTCAAATGCTCGAGTTATTTATCAAAAAAAAAAAAAAAAAAAAATTAAGAGGTAATTTACCAAACCCGAAAACGTTAAGAGGCAAATGTGCAAAATTAGGACTTCTATTGTTACATGTAATCTATTGTCTTTGACTTAGTTGAACAAACAACTAGTTCAAGGCAAATCATGACATTTATAAGTTAAGCTGAAGCTGTTGTACGCAATCGATTCATAGAATAGCGACTGCAACTACAAAATGAAAGGGCCAAAACAGTTATATATGAGCTTACTCATGTAAATGAGGACTTTTTTTAACTAAATTTTAACAGCCAGTCGATTAGAGAATACGCTACAACACTTTGTCAAATGCTCGAGTTATTTATCAAAAAAAAAAAAAAAAAAAAAATTAAGAGGAAATTTACCAAACCCGAAAACGTTAAGAGGCAAATGTGCAAAATTAGGACTTCTATTGTTACATGTAATCTATTGTCTTTGACTTAGTTGAACAAACAACTAGTTCAAGGCAAATCATGACATTTATAAGTTAAGCTGAAGCTGTTGTACGCAATCGATTCATAGAATAGCGACTGCAACTACAAAATGAAAGGGCCAAAACAGTTATATACACCATAGGGAACAGGATGCGGAAGACATTGATCTACTTTAAACAGTTTACTCAGCTTCTGTGTATTATACGTGATACTATAACATAAATCTTACAACAATTTACTTTCAGATGTAGGAATTATATACAAATCTAAATTTGCATTGTCTACTAGAAACTAAACTTATTAACATACATGTTCACCAAGCAAGTTCACTTGTGGCGATATGAGAAGCTCATTTCATACGTGGTTCTCAGTAAAAAGGCAAATCTGATCCAAAAATGCAAAAAACCAAACAATTTCTCGCGGGACAACAATATCGCTAATGGTGCACGGTACAAGAATTTTCTTCTGTTTCTTAGTTTAGGCGCCTCAGAATGTCATGTGTGATCTCCAATCATTTATCGCCGAGCGTAACGTATGATCTGTAGTCAACATAGAATGCTGAAGTCTACGCTTTGTCACTGGTGAAACGCTGTGTTTCTCAAGCCACGCCTTGATTGCTCTGTACTCATAAGTAAAACCATCAGCAGCAATGTGGGGGTCGTCCATAATCTCCTGTATCAACCACAAAATGATGTAGTTAGAAGGATTTTAGAGACACTATTAACACTATATACCTGGCCTTTTTTTAATAAGAGCAGTGAAATTTATTTCCAAGTTTTTAGTCATATATAACTTCGGAGCACTGCCAGTAAGCATCAATAGTGTGTGACACCAAGGCTATGTTTGGTAAGAGGGAAAGAAAATAGAAACAAAAGGAAGACACAACCTAGGTGAGAAAAGAATAGAAACAAAGGGGAGGACCTTTCTCTTCTTGTGTTTGGTATAGATTCTCTTCTCTAATCTCCATATTCAGAAATATTAAAATTGAGGTTCTTTGAAGGATTTGAAATCAGTCACATAATCCATTCCTTCCTCTTTCGAGTATTTTTTCTCTAACCAAGCTATGGGTCTCCAAATCCTCCCACTAATCCCCTCACCCCTCTCCCACCTTCCACTTTTCCCTCCTACCAAACAGGCTTCAAAAATCACAATGCGATGTGTCCCATGCGTAAAGTCCACATGCGGGACCCACCAGTTATGGGTTCTGGTGCTAAGCACCACTGATGTTGTTTAACTTTATTCTAACTCTTAACCTGAAGGATTGGACAATAATAGTGGCCTGGTGCGTGGGTGTTGTTTCTTTCTACTTTTGCTCTAGCATTTGCCTTATCAACTAGTCTTTTGAGAACAGGCAAAACTTCAGTCTCAAGATCTGGTCTGTCCCTGCATCTGAGTTTTGAACACTTCAGGGCAAGTCGAGCTAATTCCTCCGTTTCGATAAGTGGCCAGTCTGTAACTGACTTATCTAGAATATCAACTAAGGAACCATTTCTGATAGCATTCTTAACAGTTAAGAGAAGCCCCTTTGGATGACGAGATGTCAACAATTGGAGGATTATGACTCCAAAAGCAAATACATCTGATTTTGGTCGGATTGTACCAGTTCTTTGATACTCCGGATCCATGTAGAAGAGCGTACCGGCAAGAATCGAGTCTCTGTACTCAGTGATGTTGTCAGGGACGACATCTGAAATGAGTTTAGCCAGACCAACATCACCAATTTTGCTAACAAAATTTCTACCTACCAAGATATTCCCTGGCTTTAGATCTCGATGAACGATAGGATCTGGCTTCGAGCAGTGTAGGAATGCAAGACCACAAGCTATTTCAAAGACTATGCGGAACCTTACGAACCAAGGAAGGTGTGATTTTCCTTTTCGGCGGAAGATATAATCTTCCAGGCTTCCATTTTCCATGTATTCATAGACAAGACAACCACTCTCCGGACAGGCTCCAAGCAGCAGAACAATGTTTGGATGGTGTAGTTGACTTAGAACTTCGACCTGTGAACATTTAGAGGAGAAGATTAAAGAACAAGTGAGACAACATAGTTAAATTATGATGTGTACACTGTACACACATCTATACACACATAGACACATATGCTTCAAGCATATAATGAATGTCTAAAATAAATAGAATAGAAAAAGTAAACTGCCAGAAAGGTGGTAAAATGAAACCAAACTCTTATGAGTACTTTTAAAAGATGCACCTCTTTCAAGAACTCCTGTTTCTTTTCAGCTGCACTACTCTGAAGAACCTTAACAGCTACTGAAGTGTGATCAAGGTTGCATTTGTAGACCTTCCCATAACCTCCTTCACCAATCACATTTGTCTCCGAGAAAAAATTTGTCGCTATTTCTATTTCTTTCCTCGTGTACCTCCTGTACCTTTTATCGCTTGAAAAGAGTGCATCAATAAGTTTGCTTTTCTCAAAGGACTCTTCAAAGGCATTCACTTCAGCAATCTGTCTTTCGTAAGTTTCTTTTGCAAGCAAAGCTCTTGCTGTCTCAACCTCTTGCACGGCTCCCAAATGCTTTGCTTTCTCTTCAGCAGCAATTTTCTTTAAAAGCTCTTCTCTTTCAAGGGCAGCATCCACTCTTCGAGTTTCCTCGAGGCATACGGAAGAAGCTAACTGGACCTGCAAATTGGAAAACTATAAGTAATGTGCAACACAATCCATATACTCTTATCAAGACCACTCAAAACTATTCATGGTCTCTTCGAGCTCATTTATGAATAAATGTTGTTGTTGTTGTTGTTTTTTTTTTTTTTTTTTGGGAATAAATAAAAAATGCTTGCTACATGGATAAGCAATCAGACAGTGAGATAATTCTTGCTAACCAGGTAAAATTCAGAGAAATAATGAATTGCACCTTTTAATTCATCATCTGTATCATGTTTACAGGATTTGAAATACCAGATATTTGACGAATTACCTTCTTTTGTGCATGGACCAGTTCTTCACAAGCTCTATTATACATTGTAATAGTACTTTGCAATTCTCGACGCAACTGTTCAACCTCAGCTTGTGCATGTGACTGCACAATAGTATATCACATCAAAACTCTACGCCTTGCAAGTCTTTAAAGACCCAAAAATGGAAAAGAAATGCAAATATTGGTACAAGTTCTTGGCTCAAATCACCTTGTCAATATTTAAAGAAGCCATGGAATGGCATTGTCTTAAAGTATGAGTTTCAAGACCGGCTTCCAGGTCTTGGTAACGATTCCCTTCATGTATGCTAGTATTTGTGGGAGAACATATTTGTGTAAATGCTTCAGAATTTAGATAACTAAGAACGGACATGGTAGATGCTCCAAAAGTTTCACTAACTTGGGACTCTGCAGAGAAAGAACGAAACCCAGATATTTGTTCACCAAGACCATGGAGCCCTAGACCGTGGTCTCTTTGAGTAGAACTCTGTCGTGCAGTGCTAGTCTCTACAAGGCGCAGAAAGAAAATTTGAGGACATTAAGATGAATCAACAGCAAAGAAATGCACTTTAAACATACCCCCAGAAGATGACGGATTAGCTGCTTTTGTGATTACTCCCTGCTTGGACACAACATAAATATCACATGCGTTGGCAGTACATCTTAGAACAATTTCTGGTACCCCTGGTCCCTTCAGTTTCCTATAGCAATTGTGACTTGAGACTCAGCATGTTTCAGCCGAAAAATAACATATTTGACTAAAAAACTAACTTAAGAACAAGCATATTCAGATTTAAAATCTATTTTCAAACTTACTAAAAGAAGGCCGTTCCATGGTTACTCCAATAATTGCAACATTTACACATCAATAACGAATTTGCGTATATGATGAAATTAACAAATCCGTCATGAAAGCTACAAATGTCTTCAAACTTAACCAAATCGGTAGATGATTATGACATAACAGATAAAGATACGCTTGAAATAATGGAGTGTGCAAAATACATACACGTTACATTGTCAAAGCTGGGAAATTTATTTGTTGTTACAGTACATATGTGTATTACATAAAACGCATCATCAAAACGTTACAGTGACCAATGAGCAATAATGGCATCATACCTTGTCAGAAAATTTGAAGAGCAAGAGCCCAGGACCAAACAACTAATCCCCGACTCAGACGCATATCTTAGAAGAGCCTTTGCCGGATCGTCATCGTCTAAAATCAAAGTCTCGATCTACAGAGTGTTTAAGTACAAATCTTAAAATTTCTTCTGTTCAATTTAATACAAACAAGAATTAAACATAGCCTAGCTTCAAAAGAGATTCGAATCATACCTCTCTCGTCCTGCATAGCTTCTTGAATGGAACAAAAACTTCTTCTAGCTTCTCTTTAACGTCCTGAACATACATTGCCACCATCTTTTCATCTAGTTCCGCCACGGGGATAAAATCTCCCGCTGATAAATTCATAATTCCAATATCAGAAACATCAAAACCAACTCCAGAAGAGCAAAATTCATCAATCATCACAGTCACTCCATTTTCACTTTCAAAACCAATAGATACCCTTAAAAAAAGAAAAAAAAATAAAAAGCTATCTGAATTGTCAAATTGCCTCTAAAACGCCTTTCAAATCCGTGATTAAATAACACCAAACATAATCGTATTTTCTGAAATATCAAGCAACAAGAACAGTTGACAAACATATTTTCTGATTAAAGTTTTGATTTTTTTTTAAGCAATCATCAAATAATTTCAGAAAGTGATCGTTCTCATTAGAAAAGAAAAAGATAACGTTTTGGGTTCATAATTTTCATTTAGTTTCCATATCATTTCTCATCGACCAAACAGAGACGAGCTCAGAAATCCGAAATTTACAAAAACTTTCCAAAAAAGGAAAAAAAAATCTAAGAACAGAGCAAAGAAAGTGTTTAAACAGAAAAAGAACAAAGAGATTTTTGCTTACAAGGAGTGGGGATAGACGAGATTTTGGGCACGACGTGGACCAAGACGAAGCGATCGGCTCGGGGCCAGAGATTCTCCACCGCCCACTTGACGGCGCGTCGGCTATCGTTGCCTCCGCCGCCGTGCACAGCCACTGCCACTGACGTCATCGCCGCGGGAACAGCAAAGCCGCCATCCCGATTCATTTGAAAATCCTGAGAATGGAAATTGGAAGGCTCACGATTTACGAGGAAACTACACGCGTAGAGACTACGGATGATACTTGCTAGACTTCATTAAAACAGGTTACTGGGCCGTTGACCTGTTTGAGATTGGTTTAATTGGGCCTAAGTGCGGATAAGTTCTGCGAGCCATCTACGTCGTTTGTATGACTTGACTATTGGCGTGTCGTTTTTCATGTTAACGTTTCTCTAGTTTATAAGTCGTTTCTTGTTTGTAGTAATTTTTCCAGATAATGTTAAACCTGATGTCGTTTTCGTCTATGACATTTTTCCCGTTAAAGAAAAAACATTAGATGCGTTTAGAATTGATTTTTACTTGTTTTTAAAAACGATTTTGCACACTTTTAAGAGATGAAAATAAAAACGATTTTGTTGTTTAGTAAATATTTTAAAAATGAAAATGAAAATAAAAACAGTGAATACTTTTTGTAAATGAATTAAAAAACGGTTGAAAGTTGTTTTATTTTTTTTTATTTTCATTTCTTAGTACTTATCAACAGCGTTATATTATATCAATTAATAATTATAACTAAATATGATTTCACTTTTTTATTATACTCATAAGTCAAAATAATCTCTTAAAAAACTAACCAAATGTAATTTTAGAATCGGCCCTACAATAATTCTCAAAACAATCTCATTTTTACTTTTGTATTGAACACAAAATTATTTTGAAAACGTTACCAAACGGGTCTATTGTTTTCCGCATTTTCTGTCCTTTCTTGAGAGGAATGCTAAATACAGACTCTTTTACAAATTCTTTTTCAGATGCTAGTCTATACTTAAGAGCATCTCTAATGCAATGTTATAATTAATGTGTCAATTATAAATCTAATATTTGAGTGTAAAAAACACTCTCTAATGCAATACTATTTGTTGTGTTAAATTTATCATATACTATACTTTGTGATAAATTTCTCATTAAGTATAACATATAAAAAATTTGACATTTAATTGTTATTGGTTGAAATGTCTAACTTTTTCTTGTAATTATTACAATTTTTACATTTTTTTAATTATTTTAAAAATAAAAGTTTTAATGATTATAAGAAAAAATTGTTACCAATATTTTCCCCAACAAACCCCCCTGTTTTTAAATTATTTACAATTGTGCCATCAAAACTCATTCTCGTCATAGATCCAATTATTCATAGATTTGTCTAACGGGTAAAACTCTTTTTTTTCTCTCTCTCTCCGTTCCTTTATGAGTTCTCTGCTTTCCCCCCACTGGACAACTATTCACTCTCTGTCTCCACAGAGAATATCAATAAAACGAAACAGAATCCCTTTAAAAAAAACAAAAAACAAAAACAAGAAAAAACAAGGAGTCAGATTACTCATTCATAACAATCGTATTTCGCCAACTCTCTACTTCCTCTACAATAAAAAAGGGGTTTTTGGCTCCCATGAGGTAGTGACTACCCAAAATCTTCCATAGATCTGAGTTCATTACAAACTGGGATCCTCTGCACTTTTTACCTTTTTTATTCGTTCGCTGACTTTTGCAAAAAATTGCAAAGCTTCAACAAGAGTTAGAGACGAAGCAAAACGATAGGATAGAGGAAGAGAGAAGAAAAGAGATATGCCAATTTCATACGTCTCTCCCCTACAAACGTTTTTACAGTAATATAAACGTTTAGTTCATATATTAGAATTACGAGATTAAAATTATTTTTAATTTATATGTATTATTTGTGAAAAAAAATACTATCTCAAATTATGAAACATAATTTAAGTCATGATATGAATTCTCTTACTAAACGTCTCCTAAATATGCGTTTGATTCATAAATTCGTGTCATAATTCATAATTCATTATAATATTTTTCTCTTATAAAAAATACACAAATAAAAAAATAAAATAAAATAGATGAATGATGTAAAAAGGTAGAATTAATATTTTCTCTCATATTTTCATAAAAGAAAAAAAATATTAAATTTAAAATATTTTACAATAATATTTTAATATAAATAAAAAAATGATGAATAATTAATGTTAAAATTATTATTTTTTACATTTTATTTATTTGTCAAATTTTTTTTTCTTATTTTCTTTTTAAAATTAGGAGGATTAAAAATTAGTAGATTTGATAAATTTTTATTTTCTTTTTATTTTCTTTTTATTTTCTCATTTTCTCTCTATTAAACAACTTAAAATTTCTATTTTTTTTCTCTAAAATCCTTCATCTATTTATTTTCTTCCCTCTTTTTCACCCTGCCAAATACACTATAAGTCATTAACCTCTGGAATTTTTTTTTGTTGATTTATTAAATCAACAGATGACGGGTTTAACTTTTATTTAGTAGACAAAGAGGTATATAGAAAACATGCACAAAGGATACGCTTCTTATGGGTAGTGGGGGTTGAATTAAAAGGATGGCACAATCGCAAGTAAATTGAAAAGAAATGACTTTTTTTTTTTTTTTTGAGTAGAAAGAAATAACTTGTTATTAACGGAGTTTGTTGAGGAAAATTTTAGTGACACATGTTACAAGTATAAACTAGTATTTGAAAAAGAGTTTGTAAAAGAGCCTGTATTTAGCATTCTTTCCTTTCTTAAACTAGTAATGCTTTTTTGTTGATTTTGTTATTTCTGTTTGAGCAGTCACCAAGTAGACCCTTTTAGCTCACTGTTATCGTCTCGGCACAGATTATTCTCTAAATTATTGTCGTTTCTTATTTTCATGTCATTTTCTGTCATTGCCGTTGATTCACTTCGTGTTGTTTTCTGTGTTCATGTTGTTTTTCTATTTTATGTCATTTTTTAGCATGATGTCGTTTTACGATTCATGCCATTTTTTGCTTAAAAGTTGTTCTTGGTTAATATCTTTTCTCTATTTTAGCGTTTTATCTATGGTGTTGTCGTTTCCATCATATTTTACTGAATTTTGTTATGTTGATGTTATTTTCACATGGTTGTCATTTTATGCTTAATATGTGAGTGTGTTTTCTCTGCATAAAGAAAAAAAGGTCTTTGTTTTTGTTTTGTGTTTTGAGTTTTTTTTTTTTCTCCCTTACAATTTCTTAATTTCCGTTAACGTCGTTCTTTCCATTTCTACACTGTTTATTTTGTCGTTTTTCCTTAGGTAGCGCTTTCATATGTGTTGTCTTATATTATGTTGATGTCGTTTTGCTTAATATCTTGTATTTGGTGTTTATTTCTATGTATCCACGTTTGTCGGTTTTCTTATTTAGATTAAAAGCATCAGAATTCCTTTGATGGAAGGCTCATGGGTCATAAGGAATGCATCCAACGGTCGGGAATGATAGATGTAAACACCTTTATTTATTTGCTGCGATTAGTGATTGGAATAAATTGAAGAATAAAAAATGTCCACATTGATCTTTGCACTATTCTACATGTTGAAGGAAAAACAAAAAGAAGAAAAAGATGATACAACTTACAACTAAAACACGCATAACATGCTCTTAAGACATTTTTTTCAAACCTTCAATAGTTGAGCATCATATATGCTAGGCGCTAGGAAAGACAGATTGACCCACATAAACCTAATCATGACATTTTTTATTGAACAAACGTAATCATAATATATTTTTTTATTGAATAAACCCAAAAAAAAAATAATCATGATATGTTTATTTGAATATATTCCAAATCCCCAACATTAATACATAGTTGAAGAATAACAAAAATACGCCATCATTATTTAAATAATATCCATATATTAAAATTTAGTCGAACGCACCCATACTCATTAAACAATATCCACATATTAAAATTCAGTCGACTCGATTGACTCATGAACGTTCTTAGTAGAAATTAACAAAGGAATTGTGTTTATACATGTGTAGCCAACGCATGGTTGTGAGTAGGATTTAATACCGTGTAACAACCCATATTCTTATAGTTCTATCAACAGTAACCTTAAGGTCAATTTGCATTCTATTTTGGGGACAGATTGACAACCAATGGATCCATTTTTTAGGATACTAATTAAGGCTTCGCTCAGTTCATGGATTTGAATTTTCAATTCAAGTTGAGATGTGATTTTATGTGAGAGCGTTTCACTGTAGCAGAAAAATTAGATGTGATTTTTTATGAGAACTTTTAACTACAGTAAAATTGAAATTGAAAACTTGAATTTATGAAATGAAAGAGACCTAAACCACGTTTGTTGTCGAAATTCCTTCATCAGGAAAGTTCTAATAGATATTTATTATTATTGTAATTGTGTTGGAGGCAAAGTAGTAGTTTCAAGTTTAAAAATAATTGTTTTATTTTAGTGACATGAGTAGTGTTTGAAGGGAAAAAAAGGTAGTATGGAAGAAGTAGAACGTAATATCCACGAGAGCATCTGTAGGGGAAGTTTTTTTAGCTGAGACACCCGTGGGTGAAATTTGCAATCATTTTGTAGTAATTGTATAGCACAACTCACCAATAGATAAGTTCATTGTCGTTTTTAATTTGTGTTGAACGACTATCATCTTCTTTTGTATATCATACATTCACAAAATTAACTAAAAAAAAAAAAAGAAGTTTGTATAGTCCAAAGTTTGTAGCACTATATGTCGTCCGAAGTTTGTAGCAGGTTGTCGTTTTAACTTTTATTGATTGTCTCATATTGTGGGGATATGTGAATTAAAAAAAAAAAAAAATTAAGGCCTGCCGACAACCGGTAACAGTCTGGTAGCAATAATCATTGCCCTTTTAGCGCCCTTACATGCCCTCAATGAATTTTGATGGTAGAATGACATTTTTATTATTAAATAATTCCATGTCATTCTAATTAATGTCTAAGACGCTCAAGTTGACCCTTTTAGCTCACTGTTATTGTCTCGATACAAAGATTATTTTCTAAATTATTGTCGTTTCTTATTTTCATGTGGTTTTCTGTCATTGTCGTTGATTCACTTCATGTTATTTTCTGTGTTCATGTTGTTTTTCTTTTTCATGTCATTTTTTAACATGTTGTCGTTTTACGGTTCATGCCATTTTTCGTTGTAAAGTTGTTCCTGGTTAATATCTTTTATATATTTTAGTCGTTTTATCTATGG